CACAGGATAAAATTCCATAAAAGCCAGAAAATCATTTTTAAATTTCAAATTAATCAATATTACATGGCCAAAAAATTACATGCAAGTTAGAAGCAAAATAAACCAATTACACATAAGCAAAGATTGTCATGCAAGCTAAAAAATCATACTCATTGCTGAATTAATTAATTAATAATTAACATGCAAAGATTTCATGTTATCTATAAATCATCATAAAGGTTGCACATCAATCATAAATTTAAATCTTGCGCTTCAATTTAAATGTTAATTTATCAACAAGTTATTAATCAGCTAAAAGCCTACACTACATCATGTGCAAAAAATTTCATCCAACACTACACCATGGGCAAAAATTTTCATTCTACACTACATCATGTGCAAAAATTTCATCCAACACTACACCATGGGCAAAAATTTTCATTCTACACTTCATCATGTGCAAAAATTTCATCCTACACTACATCTTGGGCAAAAATTTCAAAATGATAACTGTATGTAGAAAATCAATTTAATTGTAAATTAATCAATAAATTATGGGGAAAAAAATAGGATAAAATTCAATAATGATAACTTATCACAAATGAAAGAGAAAAATATGGCACTTTTACCCCTCCTCCATACTTCACAAAACTCATTATTGCAACATATATATAAAAACTTGTATAAACAGAATGAAATTGTACATGTGTATCTTATTTATTAAATTATGTCACTGTTTCCATAAATAGAACACCATTTTGTTAACCTTTACCACTATAAATATCTTTAATGGACTTGTCCGTCTTTTAACCTGGACTGAATACCATTTGGGGAAATTTCAAAACAAAAAAAATGGAAAATTTCAAAACATGTAGCAAATGAGGATAGAGAACAGTGAAAAAACCTAGTTTTATACGGCAAAAATGTGCAAGCTGGTCTTGGCCTGATTTGTATCATGGGTTACATGAACAGTTGCTGTCAGCAGGCTAGCGGTTCAAGCATTTGTTTGGAGATGTGTACTTGACTAACTCCCTTGTATCTTTAATTACTGAAACAAGTTATATTATTTACAACAAACTCCTTTAGAAATTTTCCAGAAAATCTGATGACCAAAATAACCATTTCAATACATTGTGGCCTTACTCACAATTTAACACAAAGAGAAAAAATAACAGAAAAGAAAAATCAAAACAAGAGCAGCAAAAACTGTTTTAAATAACAACTTGACACATAATAAAAAATAATCACGACAAAAGATAAAGAAAACCTTATAAATAGCAAAAAAGTAGTATTTGAGACCACACCTGAAATCAAGCCAACTTGTGGTATTAAACCATAGTCACAAACTATATTTTGTGATGCACAACCATTCTGGCCTACTGGTCTGGCACTTTAATGTTATTTATTGTTATCATATTCTATACATAACTTTTTCTTCCAGGGGGCATAACCTTATACTTAGCACATTAGTGCAGTGAATAAAACGTTTTAACCTGTCCCAAATGATAACAAGTAGAGATTTTGATGCTAAAGCATCAAGTCGCCGGATAGAAATATGATTGTATTATCATAAATATAAGTTAATATCAGTTTAATGGTCCGAGTATAAAGAAAAGAGGAACAATAAGTTAAGTAATGTTTATTCATTAACACGTTTTTATTTACATGCCACAATTATATCTTTCTTGCTGAGAGTTTTATGCAAAAAAAATATCTTATGTTATAATTAAACAAGAGCCATGTCAACATGGCCATCCCCCGCCGAATGTGTTTGCTCATTGGAAGAATGTATATGTAGTAGAGCGGAATAATTCCATTTTAAGAGGTCTTTTGGTAATGAAAACTGATGGCTACAGTGATTACAGATTTGAAACCTATGTGAATACTGATGGCTGAAAATAACAAAGGGCAATTACTGAAAAATTATGCAGGGTAGGTTATCATTCTTGTGTGCTGCATCCCTCCTCAGTAAAATCTATCCACCTATGAAGTTTCAAGTTGATACCTCAAATACTTTTTGAGAAAAAAATTGAATTGAAAAATTAAGTATGAAAAAGAACAAAGGGCAATAACTCAAAAATTATAAAAGGTAGAGTTATCATTCTTGTGCAGTGCACACCTCCTGAGTGAGATCTATGCACCTATGAAGTTTCATTTTGATATCTCAAAGGCTTTTTGAGTTATGCTCTGGACAAAAATTAATTTTGAAAAATAACAAAGGGCAATAACTAAAAAATAATGCTGGGTAGAGTTATCATTCTTAAGCACTGCACTCCTCCTCAATGAGATCCATCCACCTTTGAAGTTTCAAGTTGATACCTCAAATACTTTTTGAGATAAGCTCTGGACAAAATAGCATGAAAAAAAACAAAGGGCAATAACTCAAAAATTGTATAGGGAAGAGTTATCATTCTTGCGCACAACATTCCTCCTCAATAAGATCTATCCACCTATGACATTTCATGTTGATATCTCAAACACTTTTGAGTTATGCTCCACTCAGGTGAAAAATTAGGTATGAAAAATAACAAAGGGCAATAACTCAAAAATTATGAAAGGTAGAGTTATCATTCTTGTGCACTACACACCTCCTGAGTGAGATCTATGCACCTATGAAGTTTCATGTTAATATCTCATAGGCTTTTGGAGTTATGCTCTGGACAAAAATCAATCTTGAAAAATTACAAAGGGCAATAACTCAAAAATCATGCAAGGTAGAGTTATCATTCTTGTGCACTGCACTCCTCCTCAATGAGGTCTATCCACCTATGAAGTTTCAAGTTGATAACTCAAATACTTTTAGAGATATGCTCCGGACAAAAATGTCGGACGGAAGGACGGACGGACGGACGGAAGGACGGAAGGTCGGACGGACGGACGGAGACTATTTCTATATCCTCCGTCGAAAATTTTCGGCGGGGGATAATATCATATTTGAATCAAACTTGCTTAGCAATTTTGTCAAGAAACTGTTATCATTATTAAATAAGCAAGTATTGTTTGGCAATATTTACCCGAGACTCAATAATTTTCGGGAGCTGTTTCGTTTGCTTACATAACTTATAACTTATTATGATTAATGTTAACGATTTTATCGTAAGTATAATTACATGTATAATTATATCAATTAATACTGCTCGATGGCCTAGTGGTAAGTATGACAAAGTTGTAACCTACATGTAGTAGGCGCAAGTTCGAATCTCGGACAAATCCTGTGTGTAGTTTTCATAAATTGATTTTTATTATATCTTTTAACTTTTGAAACATGAGTTGATAAATCTTGTGTTTCATTTCTAGCACTTTTTTATTTCATAATTTTGATAAACGGTCAAGTTTTGCAAAATACAAAAAGTATTATAAAAGAAAACATAAAAAATCACTTTATCGAACCTACAGTCTTCAATTTGAAACTAACTTTAAATCTAACACCTTGTCATCGAGGCTTGTAAAGCAAGTGATATGATTATGATTCTATTTGTAATTCTACTTTATACATATACCGTTGTACGTATGGTTTTCTTCAGCATCCGATAATTACCGACAAATTATTACCGATCATCGAATATTTGCAAAGTTACTATGAAAATATATATGCTTAATTATTGCATAAAACAATGGAATTCTACTGTAAAAGTTTTGTCTGCATAAACAAATTATTCTTATGCACTATCGAAAAAATATATCATTTAGCTGAAATCAATATTCCTGTCGTTACATACGATAAAGTTAATGTTATAATCTATACAGTTTACTGTTGAACCAAAAATAAAGTAATGCTTACAGAAGATGTATTTCGTCAAGTTTGAGGAAGTTTTTTATTGAGTTTGGCAGAATAAATACTTGGCCATCTTAAAGAGAAACATTCTTCCTAAATCTTATAAAGTTTGCTATTGTACCAAATATTTAATGGTTATTGAAGAAGTATTTCATTGACTTTGGCATTGTTCAATGGTCTTACATATATACAGTTTATTATTGCAATTAATTAATTTTTTTTTCTTTTTTGTACCAAAAATACTTCAATGCCAACTCAATATGTACTTCGTTGAATTTGGCAAAATACATACTTGGTCAATTAAAAGAGAAAAACAGTTCATTAGTCTCATACAATCTGTTACTGTATTCATCACGTTTTTTGTATACAAGAAATATTTAAATGCTTACTCAAAAAATGCATTTCACTTATTAATGTTAAGGAAGAAAGAGGACTTATTATTGCCTTTGCACTAATGCTCACCATTTGTATATATGGGATGTGTATTTGATTTGTTCATCATTTCTTGCTATAAACATTTGTACAATGTTTAATGCTGAATAAAATCTATTGTCATTATTGTCATATTGTCATTGTCATTATTATTGTTTAAATAATTGCCTTTCAGTGCGATAAACTATCAACCCAAAGATAGTTTATTCGTTTTCTTCGATTCCGACCCCTACCGTCATACCGAGATTTTTCATACAAAATTAATTTGATTTGCACTTTACCATTCACATGTTACCTGCATATCTATCTTATCAGCCATTTAATTGTTACTATTAATAGATTCCATAACAATAACATACAACGTGTACTAGTAGTCACGTGATTCTGGGAGAAACTGTTTATAATAAATAAGATAAAAAATAGAAAAGGTCTCATAAGATACAAACAACCAGATAATTTAAAAGTGTCATTTCAAATATCATGCATGATTTATTTATCATAAATTAGCAACGCTTGACACTTTAAAAAAGTAAAAGCATCCCTAAATTCAATGACTGGTCCATAGGGATACGTCATTAATTCATTTTATAAATATTGTAATGTTGCTTTTTACGATGTCAGTATTTGAATATTTCATTTCATTTGGCAACATTATTGTATGTTTGATTTTTTGAGATTACTGAAAACAATTGTAGTCTTTAATTGTTCAGTAATTGTTATGCTTTTATTTACAGAAATTAATGCCTTCTCCTACCATAGGTATAATATTAAACTGTTACAAATATAGTCGCCGGTTTCTACCGGCGACTAATTATGTAGCCCCAGATTTTTAGATGAGTCTCCGTATTTATTTAAGTGGGTAAAAAACCCAGTATTTAATAACAATTTTTAATACTATTTAATTAAACATAAGAGTGAAAAACAAAAGTAATAACTACACAAAAAAAATATTATAAATCTAAATGTACACCTAGGACCGTTAACTACAAACAAGAGTTTAAAATATACTTAAGAGTGCAGAATACATCTAAGAGTATGAACTTAGACACTAGTGTAAAAAAAAACTGTTTAAAACATTAAAAAAAATATATAAAGAAAATATAACTTAAAAAAATAACACTCTACACAAGGGAGTAAATTACACTTAAGAAAATCAAATGTGAAGCCATACAAAAAAAAATGAATTGAAATTTGCTCCCTTTATTCAAAACCTTTTGAGAATAAAGAACTGATAAGAACAAAAGCAATTTGTTGTCAGTTATGTAAATAAATGTTAGTAACAATGTTTGTTAGTAAATATATGGACATAACAGCTCCCACATTAGTGCCTGGTCTCCCACTCGGGGTCTTCTGTTTGAAGAGTTAGACTGGCCATACGGCTGTAGATTTCCACTGAAATAAAATAAAGATTAAAAGGTAATATCTTAATTTACTTAATTTTCTTCTATAACCCAGTCACTGGTGTTGATTGCAAGCAAAATGTTCCCTAGTGATTTCAACTAAAACAAAAGCCGTCTGTAAGACAGCGTGTTTGACTATTCTCGATGCTTAACAGTAAGAAAAGGGGCATAACTGTTTTTAAAAAGTAACTCAGCTTTATGGTACCTGTGCCCATCATGTAAGATAATCACAGAGACAAGTGTGTTAAGTTTCAATAAATTCTCTTCAGCAGTTTTGGAGATACCAATTTTCTTGCAAAAGATTGGTTTAAACATATTTATTTAAGCTCGATTTGTAAAAGATTAACTGAAGTCTGACAACTAAACACAAAAGTAAGTACAATAGCTGTCCCTTTTCTTTAATTAGTTGAGCTAATAAAATTCTCAACTCAGACAAACATCATGACAAAGTTTCAAACAGTTTCAGCAAAATTTGTGTTTAGTTTGTATTTACGCTGAATTTAACAAATTATTTTGGTCATAAATTATATTGGTGGTCATTCCACCTAACAACTTTCCTGGATAACTAACCAGTGCATGAAAGGGCTAGGTTCAGCAAGAATAAAAAATAGCCCTGTGTCAGAAAGTTATCAAAATTTCAGTAAAAGTTCACATTTTTGTGCTTTATCAGAAACAAGAACACACTTGGCGATTATTTTATTTATTTGGTTACCATAGCAACCAAGCTAAATTCAGCATTTTTAACAGTTTTTAACAATTGTTTCAGTCTCATATTGTTTTTTTTTTATTCTCAAATACGCAAACATATTTTCCTCCAGCTTTTGTACGGTTGGTGTTGATATTTAAACACTACATGAATTCATAAACGAAAATTTCCATGGTAACTCAAACAATTTCATATCTTTTGACACTGCAAAACAGCGAGATTTACCGAATTGCTAACATTATTGCAATCTGGACTAATTTGTTAAGTTTATTAAATGAATAAACTTTAAGTTCTTAGTACAATGGTAGATTTTACATATTTTTGCACAATATGGAATGTGAATGTTTCGATGGTCACATTGTTGCTATGGAAACAAGAACCAGTTTTATAAGCTTGACATTTTTTCGAAGAATAGAGGAATGATAACAGGCATGGCGGCGGTTAACCTTGATCATAACTTTTTAAATTTTTAGTTTATTGTCTTCATACTTGGGGACAACAATCTTTGGGACAAGACTAGACTAAAATTGATAGGTGGCGCGATAGCTCACTTGGTTAGACCACTGACTGTCACTCCTGAGGTTCCGGGTTTGATCCTGGGTAACACCCTTGGGATTTTTCAGAAACACTTTCAGTGTTTCCCACCTAATTAGAGGTTTACTGGTACGAAACCCAGGTAATTCTCGCATGTACCAGTGCTATACACTTGGCATGTAAAAGAACCAAGGAATCTATTCAATAAGAGCTAGGGACTCAGTTCCCGGATTCCCTTGTATCTCATAGCTGTCTCTACAGTCTGCTGAGGTAAGGACCCTACTGGAAATAAGTGCTTGCACTTTTGTAGGTTATCCTTTACCGCCTGGTCTAAAGAAAATCAATCAATCAATCAAACGACCTTCATTTATAAATGACCATTGACCTTCAAGGTCAAATATCTAAATTTTGCTTATTGTTTTGCTGATTTTTGCTATAAGCAGAGCTGCATTACTGGTACTGGTACTGCAGTGACTTTGCAAGTACTGGTACTGATACTGAATTACTCTTACAAAATTTTGCTTTTACTGGAACTACATTTACTGTCTTAAAAAGTGGTACTGCTACTGCATTACCCAGTACTTTTGGTTTTGATAAAAACTAAAAAAAGCATCAATTTTTCTCATAAAATAAAGCTGTAAATTACAATAACTTTATTTTATTTTTGTGAAAAAGTAATTTATCAAATCTTGAGATAATTTGCTGCAATAATCCTTCAAATGTTAACATAGTATTCATCATTTAAAGCACCAAAAACTTTAAGTAAAAATTAAATTAAGATAAACAGACTCAATAACTCTTTACCCTAAAATATCCTTTAAGTAAAATCTGTTATTACTTTGTATTTAATATTAAAAGAGCAAAACAAACACTAATTTCTTCTATTCTAAATAATCCCATTTCAAGTGAAAAAAGTGATAAATTGAAAAGAGGTGTGAAGGTGTGAAAGGCAACAAAAGACTGCTGTGTTTTAAATGAAAGATGTTTGCATTGTATATATACAGTTGACTGGTTACTAAATAATTAGATATGAAATGAATATATGTTGTAAAAAGTATGTTAAAACTATAAAGTTGTAAATATGTTATATTAAAACTACAACTACAAATACTTTATTGCATTAAAACAACATGTTCCATAGCAATACCATTTTTTTATACAAAGACATGGTTTACAGAAGAGCACATTAATATATATATGTATCTGCATAAAAGATGACTAGTTATTTCGCAAGTTTGCATAGTATATATTTTTTGCTAAATTATTGATTATTGCTTTTGATTTTGCACAATATGAAATTAACAAATTTCTGTTTTAGTTGGCCACGTATATATTAATAATCTCGTTTATATATATTTTGCGTATTAAACTTTTAAAGTACATTATGATTTTATTTCTTTGCTGAATAATTTTTGGGCAATTATTTGTTTGACAATGTATATTTATTCATAACTTTGATGAATAATTATAAAAGTAATGGTACTGATACTTAATAGAACCAATTCATCCAAAAAAAGTACTGGTACTTGCAGTACCGAGCTAAAATCTAGTACTGGTAATGGTACTGCATAATTTGCCAAGTACTGATACTGGTACTTAAGTACTACACCCTGAGTACTGATGCAGCTCTGGCTATAAGTAGCTATTCCTTTGTTAATTTTACAGTCATGAATTGTCTTCTAACTTGAACAAAACAATCTTGTAGGATAGAATTGCAAGCTAACTAGACAAGACATTGACCTTCAATCATAAATGACCTTGATCTTGAAGGTCAAATTATTTTAAAAGTCTTTTTTTTTTCTGTATCTGGCTATAACTTTGTTATTAATGGATTAACTTCATAATTAGACATAACATCTTTTTAGGTCAGGACCTTCATGGATATCAAACTCATATTGACCTTCACTCATTTATGACATTGACCTTGAAGGTCAAATTATAGAATTTTTCACTTCTTATATATATTGCTATAATTGCCTGTAACTTGCTTATTATAAATCAATGGATTATCTTCATATTTGGGCAAGTCCTTCTTAAATGGCTGAACTGCCTTGACCTTGAGTTTTCAATGACCTTGACCACCAAGGTCATACAATTGAATTATGGTTAAGTTGTAATAAATTTTGTTATTTATCTACAGACTTAATTGTGTCATACGTGGACTAAAAAACACTTGTCACAAACTGTGACCGTCATATGATTGAACTTTTCTTATATTTTCTTAACTTTGCCATTTTATTTATGGAAATCATTCATACTTGAACAAAACAACAAGTATTACTAGACAGATCTACCAAACTTTGAAAAAAAAGGACCAACAATTTTTTATTTAATTTTCTCTTTAAAGGTTTGTTTAAACCATTTATTTGTCTGCCTCTAGAAAAAGTATAAAAAGTCAGCGTTGTCCCACTAGCTCTTGTTTCACAGAATACAAGTTTATTGTAAATACTTAATAATTCACATGGTCACCTATTTAATGTACTGAACCTTTACCAAATTATGCATTTGATTTTCAGAGGTTTGCACTTCTTTATTTAGCAAAGGACACGTAAATTCAGTTATATGATTTGAAAAAAATGAGAAAAATATGTTGAACAAGAGCCGTGTCAACCATGGCCATCCCCCGCCGAATGTGTTTGCTCATTGGAAGAATTTTTTATGTAGTATCAGCAGAATAATTCCTTTTTTAAGAGGTCTTTTGGTAATGAAAATTGATGGCTATAGTGATTACAAGATTTGAAACCTATGTGAATACTGATGGCTGAAAATAACAAAGGGCAATAACTTGAAAAATAATGCAGGGTAGGTTATCATTCTTGTGTGCTGCATCCTCCTCAGTAAAATCTATCCACCTATGAAGTTTTCAAGTTGATACCTCAAATACTTTGAGAAAAAAATTGAATTGAAAAATTAAGTATGAAAAATAACAAAGGGCAATAACTAAAAAATTATAAAAGGTAGAGTTATCATTCTTGTGCACTGCACAACTCCTGAGTGAGATCTATGCACCTATGAAGTTTCATAATGATATCTCAAAGGCCTTTTGAGTTATGCTCTGGACAAAAATTAATTTTGAAAAAAAAAAAAAAGGGCAATAACTAAACAATTATGCAGGGTAAGAGTTTATCATTTCTTGTGCACTGCACTCTTCCTCAATGAGATTCATCCACCTATGAAGTTTCAAGTTGATACCTCAAATACTTTTTGATATAAGCTCCGGACAAAATAGTATGAAAAAGAACAAAGGGCAATAACTCAAAAATTGTACAGGGAAGAGTTATCATTCTTGTGCACAGCATTCCTCCTCAATTAAATCTATCCACCTATGTCATTTAATGTTGACATCTCAAACACTTTTGAGCTATGCTCCACTCGGGTGAAAAATTAGGTATGAAAAATAACAAAGGGCAATAACTCAAAAATTATGAAAGGTAGAGTTATCATTCTTGTGCACTGCACACCTCCTGAGTGAGATGTATGAAGTTTCATTTTGATAATCTTAAAGGCTTTTTGAGTTATGCTCTGGACGAAAATTAATTTTGAAAAATAACAAAGGGCAATAACTCAAAAATAATGCAGGGTAGAGTTATCATTCTTAAGCAATGCATTCCTCCTCAATGAGATCCATCCACCTATGAAGTTTCAAGTTGATACCTCAAATACTTTTTGAGATAAGCTCTGGACAAAATAGCATGAAAAAGAACAAAGGGCAATAACTCAAAAATTGTATAGGGAAGAGTTATCATTCTTGC